TGCTAGTCGAAAGGTATATGAGACCTCCGGGAAAGTTTTGGTTCTGACTTTTCGTGCGGGAGTGACATTAACACTCGACTGTGCTACTTGCAACTTGCGTGACAAAAACTTCCCAGTGTATTACCGCACTATTACCGTTTTAACGTCCCTCCGAGGCTTCTCGCTGCCTACTCATAATACGGGTACATATTCTTCCAGACGGCGAACTTGTATAGAATTGTTTGGCCAGTGCTTCCTGGTTTAGGAAGAATAAACGAGATACAAAGAATCGCATACGATTTTCAGTGGAGGAATTTTTGACACTCAGCTCGCATTCGGAAACAAGACTTTTAATCCGTCTCATTTTCAGTAGCACTGAGCCACTGATCCTTGAAGTCATAGAAATAGATTGAAGGTTTGAAATCGCTGTTTCTTTTCGCCCTCGAGTTAGCCGAAGAACAGATGGACGGACGGACGAACAAAACTATTACATAACGGAAATGTCTTTCGAAAGATTCCATTAAAAAGCGCCGAATAAACAAGGCATTTTCTCTTCACAAATATTGTGGCTCTCGATGACGTAGAAATACCATCAGAATGACTAAATAGAGGTTTTCAAGTATGAAGAATCTAAAAATACATGATAAAATTATGTAAATCTTGTTTGTTCCATGATGGCTGCCAAAAGTAGCTTAACATTGCGCTTTTCACTTAAAACTAGTGTATCACGTCTAACTATACGCTTTATAAAAAAAGGAATTCAAAAATATGTTCAAAATTTACAATGATCAAAGCCATTCCATTCCTGAGCATGATCAGGATCAACTTGGCACAACTTCTTTTTGGTCCTTAAAAATTGCAAAGTCACCTAAACGAAAGCCAGATTTGTTTCCGCCGGCAACTATCTGGAATGTAGGCGGAGAGGGATTTCAAATAGTTTCCATGACCATGTAACGCAGCAGTCTGCAAGTGTTCCAAGCTAGCTTTTCCAATCTCCTCCTTGCATTACCGTTGTAAACATGAGGAGAGTTAAAACGACATCAATTTAAGTCCACTGCAGAGTAACATCCTTGTCATTTTTAAAAGGAGTAACATCTAAAATTACAATTCGATTACCATTCGCCTCCATTTTGTGCACTTCAATTCCAACGTTATGGACGACACTCATTTGATTCTTCAGTACGTTCTTTGATCGGCATAATTTCTTTTCGCAAATGGCACATATTCACTACTACCCTTATAATGTAGGGAATAAAACGGGTGTTGAAATTATTTAGAATTCTCCAGCTGTTTAGACTCTCGAATTATTGTTGAGAATGCGGAAAGTTTTATTTTCTAGAAATCCGCATCTAATTACATTCAACACCTGCACTACTCGTAAGTTCAATTTGATATTCATTAACAAGCATATCGTCTACTGATCAGTGTAATCCGATCAGTAATTTGTAAGCATAAACCTACTCAATTCTTAATTAACATATAAAATTGCCTGATCGTGCAAAAACACATTTACCGAATACTTTAGTACCGTATAACAAAAGAATTTGGGGCGTTTTCGGAAATACGGAATAAGGGTTGGTTTTAAACGTTCGAGGACTATTGTTATAATTAATTTACTAATGCCTTTAAAAAGCAACCACGTGATCCTTTTGGATGTAGGTCTTAGGTTTCGAAATAAACGAACCAAGTAGACGATATAGCGACAATAAACAAGCAATCAGTAAATATAAAACACAAATTAATTGGAAGAGGAAAGTTTTAACATAAGTAGTTTACTGCCTTACAGATTAAGTTTCCAATCGCCATTAACATTACTTAACTAGATAATATCGTTGTAAAAGTACCTTTATTACCATATGTAACACGATTACAGTGAATTGATTACCGAAGTTCATTTGGAACATTCTTAACGCCACGTTAATATACCTACGCGTCTGCATACCTGAACTTTTTTAGTGTCGTTGTTAGTTACTTTTAAAATCTACCATCAAAAGCAAATTACTCGGTTGTGATATTTGTGCAATGTACAAGACAGCATTAAAGCACACGAGACCTAAATATTACCCCACACTTTCCACCACAGATAAAATCTCCCCAATTTCCATGTCTATCTGACGTTAATAACTAATTAGAATTTTATGTACGAGCGAATACAATGTTACTACACCGAAATACTAATAACGCGTTAATAAATTAAACATTTAACAGCGAACCTTTTTTTTTATCAAATTGAATCTACACGACACTACTTCATTCAAATTTTCTAATTTGAATGTTACATAAACGCATATCTAAAAATGTAATTTGAATGGAATGTAATACGATCTCAATCAGCATCAAGTGTGCCACGGCGAGCTAAGTTAGCATGGCATTTGGGCATTATGTAAATTTGACTTCACTTCCCAGCCAACACATGGCGTAAAACCGACACAAAAACTCGCATGATCTGTCAGGGTTTTATAATGAAAGGGGGGGCGTTTAAAAACGGCTATATAATTTCGCTCGAATTTTCTATAAGTAGATGCTCTATTTGAGAACATTCAATATTGTAAACCTGTAATTTACCTATTTATTGAAAGATAAATATTTAATACCTCCGCATATATAGTTATAACGGCTAGCTTTGAAACAGTCCCAATCGCTAATTTGAGGTTTCGATTGTTCCGGATCTATGTACTTATCTCCTTTTAGCTATATCGGTGTTGCATAGAAAGGCTTGTAACAGACGCTCGCTATTCTTTACTGTTCCATATTTAATTGAAGGGGTGTAAGGGACACCTAATTACACCTAGATCACAAAATAAGGGGTATATCAACTGTTTAAACTTGGATGGTAATATCATTTTTTAATTTTCTTCCCTAATGATTTATTAACGCAGATAATTTCGTCAATTTGATTTCCTGGGACTTACGCTAGGAAATCCTTTTCAGCATTTTATCCCACTTTTAACCGAAAATTTTTACCTTCGATCCTGCTTTGGACTTGACAACGCTGTCGACAAATTTTTCTATGATGATAGTTTCTACAAAAGCGTAGATGGAACATAGAGTGTATTTTGTATTAATTTATAGATCTACTTGTAAATTCACACGTCTATGTTGGAATTAAAGAAAAGCTGCCAGATCTCTCTGGGAATTCAAAGACTTTTAGAGACAAAGGTAAATAGAATTTTGATAACAAATTTTACGATTTATTTATTGGCATCAAAATCTAAAGGGATATTTATTAAAAAGTAGATCGTCGCGTGTATTATTTTTCCCTATGTCTACTTTTAAATGACAATATCTCTTCAGAAAGACGTGTAATTTTATGCAACCAAAATAACTCATTTACACTGCCATTCTGGATTTTGCAATTGCATTGCATTACTAAAGAATTCATATCTTCGTTGTTGCTTTTTAGATATGTTGTTTGGTAGGTATATAAATGCGACAGTAAAGAGTAGTTTAGGTTGTGATGAAAAAATTATTAAATCCCTATATTTACTTCTTAATGAATATCACTGTATATTCGTTTCGATTATTCAAAATTTTGAACTAGGGGCCGTTGAGTTTGGTGAGCTGTAAATCGGAAAATGGAAAATCACCTGTAGCACAATTATTTAGTAGTTCCTATTTTTACTTCCGATATTATCCACATGGATCCCTTGATATATGACCAACTTTAGTCTTATAAAGTTCTGGAAAGGCTCTAGGATGCTCCTAGAAAGACACTAGAAAGGACTGTAATGGGCCTAGAAAACTCTACCAGTCATTTGAAAAGCTTTGAAAACGACATTTCGGATGGAGACATTCTCTTCTGTAACGCTAACAGAATATCAAAGGAAGCGCAAGAACGTTTTGAAAAAGGCCTAAAAGGCGTTTAAAAAGTTTCGAGTGATCTAACGTATGCTCTGAAATGTGTTTAAAACCATACCTAAAAGATTTCCGGAGAAATTCTATGGCACTTTCATAACATTTATGACCTTCCCACAGCATGGATATTATACAGAGTGGCCCAACGAGAAGTAAACAGAGGGCTTTTAGGGTATTAAATTTAGAAATTTCGAAAAATCCTCGAACACGTCAATTTTGTATTCGAGGGGGACAACTTTTGGAATACAAATCACGAACCCAAGTCTTCACCCCTCTAACCCCTAAAATTTTAAATGGAATCCTATGGCAAATGGCACATTATTTGAAAGCCAATTTAATCGTGATTACTAACCTGCTTTGCTTTTTAAATTCTATTGATTTAGAATAGATTTAGACCCGAAAAGTGCATCAGGCCTTTATTTAGTTGCCTCGAATTCCGCAGTTATAAGATCTAAATGCGATGTTACTCTATCTTAGGCGCGTGGGAAGTTAGCCCCTCATTAATACAATTTTGCAATATTGTATTTAGAGCTCTGGACGCTCCCCATATCAGTTCGTGTACAGGGTGTGCACAGAAGGTCTTCCTGTTGCGCAGGAAGCTTTCAGTGTGAAGTCAGGAATCAGTTTTCTGCAACTTTCGTACAATTTCATTCGCCATTGATTATCTATACTCGATTGCTATCACATTCAGTGGGCGTCGGATCTTATTGATGATGGAGTCAAAACTAGCTAACAGAATACTGATCTGCCATACAAAAAATCGCTTCGATCTCACACGTGGACTATGATAATTTTGATAACGTTACTGTGCTAAACATAAAAAAACTGACTATGTCGATTACATAATATAAGGGTGAGTAAGAAGCCGCCACTTTGTCACCGTCACCATGAGGAAAATTTGCTTTTACTTTTGAGTGAATTACATCGACGCAGAAGAAAAGGGAAGACTTCTACATTTCGTCATGAGATCCACAAGGAACAAGGAACGTTATATACGGTGCTAAGACATTCGACTACTCAGGGTAAAAACCGTTACGAGTTGATGTCATTCCAATTGACCCATTATATTTTAAGTGATAACGCGGTTGAAGGTCAGGTACCAAATGTGACCTATTGTGATATATCACATGTTTGGCAACGTTTTCTGCTTCAAAAAGTGGGTTATCAAAAATATCACTCACTGCGTCAGAGCGACTACTATGTGGATCAATTGTTCTTAATGAAAGTGAATTACATATATCATGATCGCCTATATTCTCGTAATTACATGCACTCTGCAATTTACCCCAGCCAATGTAAGTAAGTAGTGCTCAGCGGAATAATTCTCACGCAACTTTCAGCTTTTCGAATTTAACATGAACGTAGAGCAGTTACAAAAATTTGCCGCAAGCGCTCAAAACTACTGTGCCAAAACAATCGATATAACACCGGTCAACATTGCCAGCGGGACTGACAATGAAAAGTTTCAATCTTGTTATCTGAAGGAGTGGCACCGGTTGCAAAACATTGTTGATGAAAATTGTCCTGAACTCCAAGGGAATTCGTTACATGAAAAGAGGAGTTATTACTTGCAGTGTTTCGATGATGGTATAAATGCAATGGTTCAGAATTATGAGAAAATTCTACCATAAATGGTTGCATGGTGACCGTTAGATCCCTCCGTAATATATTAATATTAACACAATCAAAATTAGACTCGAGTTGCGAAATCAATAGAAAACTTGCCTGAAATTGATTAATAAATCAATGACGGCGATATAAGACGGAGCCTTGTAAATATTGTACTTAACAAATAATAAGAGTAAAATGCCCCTGTTCCTCAAAAATCTTCTTTTCGTCCACTTTACATATTACCTACCATTGTATTTTTATAAATACAATGATATTACCTACTGCCTGTAGAGAAGAAAGAATTGTGGCAATTAGAAGAACCGCCCATGGATTCTTCGTCCAGACGTCCTCCCTTCTTCCGACACTTCGTTTTTGGGATATTCGTTCTCAGCAATAGGTATTGTGTCGTCTAGCTAGACGATTTATTCTCCCTTTGTGAGAATTCTTCTCTGATACACCTTTTTCCAGATATTCGCTCTTAAAGTTTTGACACCACCGATGGATAATCAGACGTCCTAATTTTTGTGAGTATTTACCCTCTTCCAACATTCCGCTATGAGATATGAGGAATGATAGCCGATCACGATAAGGGATCGAGGACTGTGGTTGGTAGAAATGAATTCCTTTCGTTGGGACCTTTTATTGCCATAAAGCGAGACAATTTGTTTGTTGCATGTAAAAGTTATTGCGAAAAGTAGCACGTTCTTTTCATTCTTAAAAAATGCGCTAAAAATAGATTCGGTACTAAGCACAGTTCACAATTAATACTAGTAGCTCACATGAGTAGGAAACCTATATCGAAATTGTTTTGACTGAAATAAATAAATTCTATAATGTCCTCGATTTCCACTTTCATCCCGCTCATGATACAGGTAATTTCGTCTTCGGTATTCCCAGAATACGAACTAGTCGAAAAGTTCTGGATGTGGGATAAATTTTCAGTGGCCGCTGTCAATACTACTTTCGAAACAATCGTAACTGAGAATTTGCAAATGACCAAAGTGTCAACCCCAAGCTTGCAGTAAATAGTAAATGGGTCACAACAGGATAACGTGTCGTGTAAATGAAACCAGTAAAACAATAGAACATCTGTCAAAGAGTGGCCGGACCAACATAGTTTAGAAGTGTTACGGACAACTGCGGCGTCTCCACTTATCTCCTTGTTTATGCATGAGCTAACACCCGCTACCCCGTATGTAAGCAGCGCAATTAGGACGCCGCTGTTACACTCCCGCTTTCCAAGTTTCGCCACGTTGCGCCTTATTACCCCTTTTCAAATAGTGGACCCACGTCATCCTGCTTTAGGCGTGTCGGCTTTTGTAAACCCCTAATATTTTTTACTCGCGAAGGTAAAGAAAAGGGTGTATGCGGAGACCGGCTTGTACTACCAGTATATTAGGCACAAAACACATTTCGTTTCCTTTTTGTTCTCATTATACATGAACTTCATCAATAATTTACATTAGGAAAAGGGTTCTCAAAAACACAAATAAACACAGCCAGAGCGCCTTCTAAAAGCTTCCGCACCTCGCCTTAAATTCAATTACGGACGAAAGAAAATTTACTTCGTCCACGTCGAGTCGAGACGCGACGAACAAAAAAAATGAGAATGTAATTGCGCATTGAAATTGTTCAAGACAAATCTAATCTGCCGCGTTCATTGCCAGAAGTTATGAAGGAAATGGAAGAAAAAAGAAAATAATTTGCTTTCACGGAGAGATTTAGAAATATTTCAACGAGTTTTACGCAAAGTTAATAGTACGAAATCGAATCAATTTTTAATAAATGAAAATGTTTGATTAAATGTTTTGACCTACGAAAGAAATTCCGTCATTTTTTATTACGAAGAAAGTTTCCAAGGATAATAAAAAATTCTTTTAATATTAGTAAAATGAAATTGGAGCCGGGGGTTCTCGCTTATTAATTTTTTGGGACTACCAACCTGCAGTTAATATAAAAATGATCTCTGCATATTTTATGTTTAGGAGTGATACAGATAGATTCAGAACTACACATATTATACCGTGTCGTTTATTCTATATGTCCAGGATCGTTAGATAGCATACCGGGTGAATAGTGGAAAACCGAACGTAGGCAATTAACAGGGGAATAGGTTTTTTGTATATTGTTGCTTCCCATGTTAACTGAGAGGGTTTATAATGATACCAATCGAAAGAAGATTTTTTTCTCATCTAATGATATATACGAATTAATTAATTTTCATTTGTATTTCTCATTATTTTATCAAAAATTCGGTAATAAATCCAATTAGCAAAATCATGTTCGCCGGGCATGACTCAATTGGAAATTTTCTAAAGAAATGAAAAAGTTTTCGAGACAAACGGAAAACATTTAACTGCATGGAAAACAAATATCGCATACTATGTAAGTATGTTCGACGGGTGCCATTTGAAGTTTCAAAAAATATAACATTTGGCGAAGGTCAATTTTAAATGCTGAACTTTTAAATCCATTTATTTTGCTTCCTAAATTTCAGTCACAATCGTAATTGAAAAGGAGGTAAAAATCAACAACCAATCATAACGTTTGATAAATTATTTTATAAACATGACGACGGTAGTTGTGCACAATTTTGCCCCAAAATGTTTTTTGGTATCTTTTATGGTAAAGGAATTACGATCCTTAGATGTTACAGTCGTATACATATTAACCCTTAAAAAATCAAGACTTATGGTATTTGTCGATGGTGTACAGGTAATTAGATCTAAAGTGAACGATGTCCCAATTTGGAAAGTCTTGTTCAAATTTACTTTCAAAATGGGCACCTTGCGTGAGCTAATCATTTCCGTCATGTAACAGTCCAATTAAGTTGGTAAACCGATTTTTATATACATGCTTACTTTAAAGTTGTCAAAGTATAAATTATATAAGTTTCATAATAGATGGTACATCCCGTTGAGAAATGCATTAACTTTGGGCAACATATCTCCTGCTTATTTATATACAGAGGCGTTTTAATGTAAAATCGTAAATGAGAATATATTTTCCGCCTGCTCACACTATTAATACGTTCAAAACATTCACGATTTTAACTCTATGAATAACTTAAAAGGGGTAGGCGATATTTAATTTAGCTTAAAATTAAAATATTAATGTGCCACATTTCGTGGCGATTTGCTCGAATATATTTCGTCAGGAGAACAAAGAGGACGGTAATTGGACAAAACAGATTCATGCTCGAAACAATTAAGATTGTCGATCAATCATTTCAAATAAATCGTCAATCTTATTTAGGCGGAGGCACGTTTCAATCCAATACAAAAATTTACAATGCAAGTAAATTACTCTACTGGAGATACTGGAAATTTACGAAAAGCTTATACCATTCATTTTCCACCCTTTCATTAACTTCCACGAATTCATTTCTATATTTGTTACAATTTCGTAAAAGTTCCAACTTTTCAATACTTTCTTTTTCTTGCTTATGAAAATGAATAAAACTGTTAGAGAAAAGTTTTTCTAAATGGAAAAATACTGCTTTATTAATAGGAAAGCGGGAGAAATTGGGGTAGAATGCGTTCTTTCGAAATTCTACAGCTACAGGAGGGTGTGCCGTGTGTCGCCCATTGTACAGAATTAATAAAAGGAACAATTAATTTGCTATTACAAATAAAAAGTTTCAAAATTCGACAATGACTCTGTTCATTACACTAGAAATGAAATTCACATTCTGCCTTTCAATTTAAACTAAATTTTGTACATGACGAAACAATTGCTCGCTGTAATTGTAGGTAATGCGTTATGTAATTAGAGATTTAACACAATAAATTACAACTGGAAATAAATTTAAGCATTAACGTCGGCCATTTAAATCTGAATTATTGTGTAAAAACACATGCTGACAATGTTAGAAGATGAATTAATCCCAAAACAACAAATGGGGATACCTTTCGTCTAATCGCCGCCGGAAAACTGTTGATCTTATCTACTTCACAAACGGCTTTTATGTGGGAAAGCCTGTCATATCCTGTCTGAAATTGGATAAGCTTCTAAGTTTGCAAACAAAAATTGACGTTAAGAACACCTGAATGGAGAACTTCTAAGTTAGCACCTAATAATACTTTAACGTCGAGAATCCCAAAGCTATTGTCTAAAAATCAGCGTCACGTAATTTTTTTTCAATTGACACTCATATTTATAAAACTACCTCGTGCTCTCGACAAAATAATTTGGAACCGCCGAAGAGTGGATGACGTATTGTTATCATAGATTATTTTTCTTACTTGGATCACGTTTCTTTCAGTTTTCGTGTCGTTAAAAGACCAAGGAAAAATGGATCCGCTGCTGTAGTAACCCAGTGAGAATTTATTTAGACAACTAAATCCAACGTATTCTTTTAAACCCAGATTTCTCTAAGGGAATAGTGTTTCTTATGATGAATACCTAAGTATTGTTGCTGCATGATTTTCTAATTAAATTCAAAACAATTTGATAATCTAAGTTGGTCATGTCGATCTCAATAAATTTATTTCAAAACTTAACAAAATGCGATAATATGGCCATCGGTTTTCTCTTTTTGTGTTAAACCACATATGTAAGTATATTTACATCTGTGATTATAGGTAGAAGTACTTATATAACGCCTTATCCAGCTAGCGCTAGGGTTTTAAAATTTTTAAACTAAATTCATCGATATCCTGATTACTTTGTCACTTTTAACATAGTACTGTATCATTTCTTTTTAGCATCAATGACAACAAGAAGATGCATAATACGTTTTTCTCATAAAATAGAATATAAACAAGGTTTTCCTCTTTATAACCCCATTCGGGAACTGTTTAATCAAAGCCTTACGAGTAGTATTTGCATGCACGCATCCAGTAGTTTTAACCTTAAAGATTAGCAAAAACCTATTAAAAACCTATACTCTAAAAGGCTTTTTTACAGGTTGAGTTAAAAAAGACTTACTTTAACAATGCATAAGGATATTTCCGACTGTCAAAGGCTCTTAGACTGTAAAGGCCGATTCACACTTGCGCTACACTCAGCTCGGCAACGCGATGCGATGCCGCGCTGCAAAGCATCGCTACAAGAGATTTCATGTTTTTAAATGCAGCACAAGTGAGAATCGGTCCTAAGACTTAAAACGTCTTATCGCCCCATAGAATCTCTTAAAATCTCTTAAGTACTAAGTGCCTCGTAAAAACTCTAAAACTTTGGAAGCAGGCGACCCTTTATGATTTCTTTGCAGAGTTTTAAACACTTTTAGAGGCCCTTAAAGGCTTACACACATCTAAAGATTCTTAAACGGTTTGTCTAAAAGGCTTTCAAGCTTTCGGAGAATTTTAGCGGCTCCAATATGACTTTCTTAGAACAGTGCATTCCTTTTAGGTTCTTAAACCTTTTAAAAGTTCTTAAAAATGTTTAAATACCCTTTAAGACTCCTGGAGGCGCTTTAAGGGTGGGGGTTTACAGTTATTCTGAAGGACTTAAAACCTTTGGAAGGATCTTGAAGGCTGTTTGCAACCTTTAAAGCATTTTGGAAGCCTTAAGGACTTTTAAGGGCTGATAAAAGACCAGTTTTTAAATACTTGTTACAGGATCTTGATGACTTGATGAATTTTGTAAACCTTTGGATGCTCACAGAGGCTTCCAAAGGCTTAAAGATTTTTAAACGGCATTTGATAGACTTTTGTAGACTCTTGGGGATTTAACAATTGTTCCCGACAACTAAAGACATTTCAAGAACATTAAACGCACTTAGATATTCATTCATAGAAAGTATTAGAATAGAAGCCCATACACTCAATACTCTCAAAGATTATTCAACGCTCTTAAGGATTCTAAAGGTTTTTCGAGACCTTGATTATCACTAAAAGCTCCAGGATGCCACTAAAAACTCGTGGAGAGA